AGAGGCTTTCTGTAAACAAAAGAATATTACTAGAAAAAATATATATTGCACTGTTCAAGAAATTGATGAGATTATACTAATAAAAAAATGTAATACTTAATAAAATTTCAAATAATTTGTAAAATTTTGCTGATAGTTTATGCAGCAAATTGTGACAATTTTTTGTTACACGCTTCGTTCCTCTCTTCGCTCCTGTTCTTTCTTCCTTTTTTTTTTACTCAATTCTTCCTTTCACACATGTTTCCAATTTCCGTTTCCCTTCTTTTACTGTGCATTCAGTTTTCTATACATTAAAATACCATTCGACACTATAGCTCTACAACGATACATTGTAAATGTAATTAACTACTTCGAGTTGTGCAGGATGCAGAATGGGGTAGGGAGAGATATTACCCTTACTGACGCTGTGCGATTAATCAATTATTTTTTTAAATCTTTAAATATTTTTTAAATATTTTGAATATAGCATATAACTATAATCAAAACAGTGTCAAAAAACATTACGTTCTAGCAAATTTTATAAATTCTTGCAATTCGGCTATCTCTTTTATCTATTACAATTATTAATGTAACTACAAATTATGAAAACAATCGTTATAAAATTCCCAATTGATGGTCGATTAATCGGACAAGCGTACAGCTTTCTCCATCTTCACATACTTTTCTCTTAATCCTTTCAGAAGCACGCTCACAATCATCTATTTTTTTGTATTGAGATAAATCCATGTTTTTTCGCGACGATAGTTGACGATTGATAATCGTCAGTAAAAAGGCCCCGTCTTATAAAAGATGCATTATACAGATTAAACGACATCGTGATTTATAAAATGTATGCTCTAGCTGTTGCGCTTCTAAGAATCAAGGATCGTCAATTTCCTCTGTCTCCATTCTTACATCTGCTTAATGGGTACACTCGATTCTTATTATTAATCCGGCTACCAAGCGTATCGATCGAATCATAAATGTTCGATATCGCCACAATGAATATTGCTTTAAGTTGAAGACATAAGTTCCTGCGACTGTTAAAATTTTCTTGCGCAAGATCAATCGCGCCTAGTTAATGATATAAAATCAATTTTTCTATTCGAGAGAGAATAAACTCGATCGCTCACATTTCGTCGATACCCTGATGCATGATCGCTTGGCAATCCGGAGATTATGTTAGATTGATCGATTCGAAATGGTCTTTCTCTATAAACGAAGGATCTTTTATTAAAAAAATATATTATAGAGTATATAACATGGCGAGAAAATTGTAGCCTACAAAGACCTGCGTTTTCATTATAATTATTCCGTTCTAGAAATATCTCGCCAATTTTTATAATTAGAAAACGATTTTATTAAAGAAACTACGTTTTTAATTACCAAACAACACGTGTTATTCACAAAAATTTTGTTCATATAAAAAGATAAAATTGATAAGGACAAAAGTGATATTTTACGATTACTTAAGTATAATAGGAGCACCTTCGAAAGTACCATTTCGAGCAAATCAGATATTTACTAGAAATTATCTACTTATATATTGTCGGGTAATAAAAACGACTCGCTTTCACGGTGACTATGCTTTTCCAAAAAGGGGAGAAGTCGCTATCGTTACACTATTCATCGATCGCTGTGATTTCCCTTCCCTCCCCTTGTTTGTACGAGTAGGCACTTAGCTATGTTTCTGTTTTTGTTTGTATGACATTATATCTATTGTATGCATGTGAGTAGTATAAAAGAATGTGTCGCTGAATATGCTTTTTCGTGCCTTGTCCGATGCTGAATGTGAGGTCCATAGATACTTTTTTCAAAAGTTTATAATTACATGTGTGAAAATAAAAATAGACTGTCATACCTAATATATAATTGAGAGAAAAAATGATATTTTCAATGTAAAACAATAAAATTGATAAATGCTACTTTAAAATTGTATTGGAGAAATTAATTTCTAATGTTATACAATGCAAAACCGTGCTTGCATTTTCCTGAACAATGCTTCGATGAGCAAGTTGAACGATCAACATCGGTAACTGCTCCCATCGTTCCTTCGCATTCACTCTCTCATACAAGCGTTTCTCATCTCAGATCCACGCATGCACGCACGAACGCACGTACTTCGAAGCGCACATCGATTTTGGAACTTTTTGTAATTAGCACCGTATTTTCGTGACCTGTGAACTTTCATGAGCGTATGTCTCACTTCCGGAAGCTTCGCGCGATCGTTAACAATAGGAGAGAGATGAGCGTCTACGATCGTTCATCCCGGTTCTTTCATGCGTAAAACGGCTAATGAATAATTGCGACTTTTTTTAACTACGCAAACTACGTACCGTTCTCGAAATTTCAACATGTTTTCGGTTTAATTTCAAGACGCATGGAACGATTGAAAGATCTTCTGAACGCATGATAAGTTTCGCCAATGACACGATAACGATCGTCACGAAATTAATTGTGTAGTTTCCGTTTAATCGAATCGTCGCAGATTACGGTTTTATATACTTACATAAATAATATCTCGATAAAAATTAGATAACAATAGTATATTAGTGCGTAAAGTTAAAACGTGTTGTTGACAATAGAATACTGCATATCCCCTCGACATCGTGTTCCACGTAGAGTATGCTCGCTCCCTTTTTGCTCTCCATTCAATTTCTTTTGCAACGTTCTAAAGTTCTACATAATTACGCGAAGACGAACACGTCAATATATGCGCAAGTGCGACGTGCCTAAAAACTTCGTTGGAAGATCGTGCTCCAACGATAGTTAACGTACAAAAGTAAAAAATACGCTTTAGTGACGCGCATCTTTTTCAAGACGTCGCGACGCACATATTCTCATCACGCTTCATCTTTGGATTGGAACACGATCTGACAAGTCTTTCTCTCAAAGTAGCTTATATAAAAGCTCGACTTAAGAAATACGCCGGCTTAACTTTCGTTATTTTACCGCTCATTTACTTCCACCTCTTTTTGTCCTAGAAGTCATTATAGACATACTCAGTCTTTGTCCACAATGCTCAATGCACAATTTGCAACATACACTGTTGAGCAATGAACTGGAATTCACATTTTCTAAGATTTCGCGTTTGTAAACCCTTCCCAACTCCTCTCTAACGCAATATAACTTTATTACTAAATTTTCGAAGTTAACAAGGCTATTGAGATAAATGCACAAATAGGATTCAATTTATAAAAAGAAAAGTTAGAAGCGAGAAAATGTCGCGGAGATCACCAGTAACTTTTGGAAATAACACTTTGCTTGCTTATAATAGATATTTGTGTCCTTCCTTCTACTGTCACAACTTCCGTATCAAAAATTCGTATTCTTTTTATGAAGTATTTAATAACAGAAAGAAGGTAAAAATCATTCGTCAGCAAAAGTTTATAAACATGATGAGTTCAATCTTTACATAATGGCATCTAAAATAATTTTATCTTTACAAGAAATTTGAAGCTAACATCCGTGCATCAGGAATGTCTTATATTGCAGAGTAAAATAATTGATTCTATTATACAATCTAATAATCTATCGTTTAAATTAATCGAATTCATAGATGACAACGAACTGTACGAGTTTATCACTTACATCAAATATTATCATCCTAGATGGCAATTTGCACACTGTAATATTCTGTTGTAATAAAAAAGGAAAAGAAAAAAATTGTAAATAAGAAAAAAGTATATAATACTCATAGCCAAATAATAAAAAATGTAAGCAAAACTCTCTATTATAATAAATAAAAAATATTTTTAAATTCTTTGTGAAGTTAATATACATATGCGCAGTCTAAATTTTCATGAATGACTTTGATACAAGACAGTAGAACTACTTCAATTAGAGCAATTAAAAAATATTTATCTATGGAACTAAGATTGTTTAACAAGTTTTTTCTACGCCTATCACTAATATATTCATTTAACGCTACTAAAGAAATTGAATAGATTATTTCCAGATCATTGAATCCATATTTTCATTAAAAAATTAAGATTGAATTTATAAGCTACCCAGTTTTGTAACATAAAATGTATTATTTGAAAATATGAATTTAAATTGTAAATTAAATATATGAAGCTGATTTGGAAATAAGTCTTCATTCTAGCTTTTTATTCAAAGCTAAAATGATTTCGGTAAAATATTAACATCAAATTTAATTCATTTAGAAATGTCCTGTTAATCGAAAATCACAGAAATATAATGTTTCCTTTTTTTATTCATTTATCGTTATATTACCTAAATTATAAAAAAAAAAGGAAAAGATCGAATTTAGTTAGCAAGCAATGTTCTATTTACAGGAAATGATAAAATCAAAGTCACTCAAGATGATGAAATTGTTTTTTTCATTTAATTCAGCTTTATATATCCGTGATTTTCACTGTGTTCGCTGTGTTTATGTGTATCATTATACGAGCGTATTATCAATTCTAAGTAAATAAAATGAATGATCGAAATTCACGCAAATCAATATTTATAAAGTTATATGATTATATCATGATATAGTACTGCGTAATTAGTTCTTGAGTAAATATTTTATCTACAATAGTAATCTATCTGGATGTTAACACGTTAACGGCCAATTATTAGATAACTCATATTTGACAGTCTGCCGCTGGTGGACGTATACTACAAGAACGATCGTATTTGCCCAATCGATGTACAAGCCGACTACGTAACGTCCAATGTCGGATTTAATAAACTTCCTTCCTCTCTCAATGGCAGTCAAAGTGTTAACATAGTTCTTGATTTATATTTTATCTATTGGAATTGTGTGATAAAATTTACTTCATGACAACACTTTCATAAACACATATACAGAATAAACTATTCTTTTTTGATAGCAAAAGTGTAATAAAAGAATTATGAAAAGAACAAGTATATTCTAACATTCTAGATATTCATAAAATAAATCACAATATAAAAATACAAATTAAAAGTTCTCCTTTTCTCTTTCATTAGTATCCATTCTCATTTTTACTACTCGAATATATAACAATGCAGTCCAAGAATGTACCACCTTGTTTCTAGCATTGTTTTATTTCCTTCCTACTGTTTTTTGTTATTTCTTTTTCTCATTGCTTATTCTTCCGATAACGGAGGCAGTATCGTTTGCGATATTACTGGCGATATCATTTTACTGCCGATCATATCATACAAAATTTTTTGTTTAGTTACTCTCGAAGATTTCAGCCAAGATTGTTAAAACCTCGCAACAGAATCTTATGTTAAGAGTAACATTTTCTACGATTACAAGTCATCGAAATGTTATCGATAATTTGAATGATGCGTGTGTATACGTACGTATGACATCCTTAAATGAGATACGACATCTAACTACGCATATACAGGTAGTAACAGATCGCTATAATACCCCCACCGATCCCAATGCCTAAGCTTATGTTAAGAGGGGTAAATAATGACCTCTTGAATTTCTGCCATTCTTCCATCTCCTTCCGTCGGCGTTTCATCTCACGTATTTGCGTAGCTAGTCGTTCATTTTTTTCCATTTTGCGGCGACGCACTTCCCCTTTCCTATTTCAAGAGAACAAAATTCATAATCACATTAAGATGAACATTAAATAATTCGCGTTTGTTACTAAGAGTTACTCACGCGTCTGAATTGGACGGAGAATTGTTTATTAAAACAGAGTTTTCAGCGTCGTTGGAAAGACTTTCGTCATCAAGTACGTCATCATCCGTTTTATATTTGTATGCATAATTTGAAAGAGATGTAAATGAATTTTCATCTGTTAATTCTACATAGTTCGGTGGTTCACTTGGCAAAGGTTTATCAGGTGGTCCACCTGTTTCATCTGTAATTCATATATTTTTTGTTATTAATGCTACTTATGGTATATAAGGATCATTTTGTTTTAATAAGAAAGAAATACCATTATCAGTCGAACCATCTGGACTTAGATCTGCCATCATACTACGAGTTAAAGACTCTCCTCTAGGAGGTGGTAGAGGTGGAGGTTCGTCATCTTTTTCTAATGGATGGTTACTTTTATTATTCATCTCGTCATAAGTTGTTATTATTTCATCAGTTGTTTCGTTGTTCATATCCTATAAAGCATGTATTTTATAATACAGTGAGTCGGTGATTAAATTTTATCGCAATAATTTGCTACTACCAAACTAATTTTGCGTTGAAAACATTTTCTAATTAAAAAAGTTTATTATTTAATAAAAGTAGACATATTTTGCAAAAAGCAATATTCTCTTTTAAAATACCAGTAAAAAATATCAAAAATTTAAGACTATATTAATTATTATTATAATCTACTCGATAAACAATAGCAACTATCAATTACTTACCATGTTTTCAAGTGGCAATTGTTTTGCTCCCTGAATGATGGCAGCATATGAAAAACAAAGTTGTTCAGGTGTTTGTATCAGACCCATACGAGACCGTCTCATTTCCAGCAATTCATTTCGTACATTTAGAGCATTTAAACCATATTTTTCAATCTATAATTAAATAGCACTTGATTAACAATTGCCAAAACAATTTCCTGTAAATCATAAATTGTTTATTTCATTCCATGTACCAGTACTAAGCATGCATCAACTAAGCAAAGTGTCCCCGATCTTCCTATTCCTGCAGAACAATGAACAACGGGTGGGCCAACATTTTGATCTAACGCTCCTGATTTCCTGATGTCTGCCAAGAAACGTAAAAAGGCCGTTGGACGTTGTGGTACTCCAAAGTCTGGCCAAGTGGTGTAATGAAAATGTAAGATTTCCCTACTATCATTATTTTCCAAATCCGTTATACTGTAGATAAGTTAAAAACAATGAATACGTCATAACACTTATAAAAACATTAAGAATGTAATTATCAATTATAAAGCAAATCTTGATAAAAATATGATACAGTTAATAATATACATGTATTCCTTTACCGTAATGTTCTAGTAATGTAATCTGATAATTCTTTCTTGCTGATGTATTCCACCTTTATACTGACATCGTCAAACGTTAAAGTAGAATTTACATCATCAAACGGAAAATATTGATGACATTTGATTTGGTTCTTCTCAATTATCTTGTTTAACATCAATACAGCTCTACTATTTTGCTCCCATACCATTAACCAAAAATGACTGACAGTATTTGGTAAAGGTCCTTGCGTCAAGATATATTGCCTTTCAGCATGATCCACCTGATGTACAAATCATGTTTATCATTTTCAATTGCTTACATATGTACATTATTTCTTGCATAATATATTTACCCGTATAAGATTGGCATGAATGTAATCACATACACCTCTTTTAAGTATAATCCTAGTGTGATCATATGGCGCCACGTCCCTGTAACGATTTAGGTTTCTGTTCTGTGGTTTTTTTGATTCATTGCATGTAAATTCAAAAGTTTCACATTCGCTACGTATGCCCTGTAAAATATAAAGTAAATCATTAACGAATTGTAAGCATACAAAGAAATACTTTTGTTTATATATAAAGCATATATTAACAATACAAAAATATAAATTAAAATAAAAGTTGCTCTATATATTTTTAATTTAAGTAATCTTGAACCTTTTATTGAGTCTCTCTCTCTCTCTCTCTCTCTCTCTCTCTCTCTCT